TGCATGGCCAAGGGGTTGGATGTACGCCCTGGCGTCCCTTGGGCTCCGCCTCTTTTGCGTGGCAGCCGTGGGACAATGTGCATGGCCAAGGGGTCGGATGTACGCCCTGGCGTCCCTTGGGCTCCGCCTCTTTTGCGTGGCAGGCGTGGGACAATGTGCATTGCCAAGGGGTCGGATGTACTCCCTGGCGTCCCTTGGGCTCCGCCTCTTTTGCGTGGCAGGCGTGGGACAATGTGCATTGCCAAGGGGTCGGATGTACGCCCTGGCGTCCCTTGGGCTCCGCCTCTTTTGCGTGGCAGGCGGGGGACAATGTGCACTGCCAAGGGGTCGGATGTACGCCCTGGCGTCCCTTGGGCTCCGCATCCCTTTGTTTTGGTCATTTTTTTTTTTGCGTGGAAGGCGTGGGGACAATGTGCACTGCCAAGGCGGTCGGATGTTTAACGCCCTGGAGTTACATAGGGATCCGCCTCTTCCCCTTCCCTCTCTCCTTTGCAATGTTGCACCTGCCAAAGGGGTCGGATGTACGCCCTGGCGTCCCTCGGCTCGCCCTCTTTTGCGTGGCAGGCGTGGGACAATGTGCACTGCCAAGGGGTCGGATGTACGCCCCGGGGTTCCGCTGGCGTCCCTGGGTCTCCGCCTCTTTTGCGTGGCAGGCGGGGGACAATGTGCACTGCCAAGGGGTCGGATGTACGCCCCGGGGTTCCGCTGGCGTCCCTGGGTCTCCGCCTCTTTTGCGTGGCAGGCGTGGGACAATGTGCACTGCCAAGGGGTCGGATGTACGCCCCGGGGTTCCGCGGGCGTCCCTGGGTCTCCGCCTCTTTTGCGTGGCAGGCGTGGGACAATGTGCACTGCCAAGGGGTCGGATGTACGCCCCGGGGTTCCGCTGGCGTCCCTGGGTCTCCGCCTTTTTTGCGTGGCAGGCGTGGGACACTGTGCACTGCCAAGGGGTCGGATGTACGCCCCGGGGTTCCGCTGGCGTCCCTGGGTCTCCGCCTCTTTTGCGTGGCAGGCGTGGGACAATGTGCACTGCCAAGGGGTCGGATGTACGCCCCGGGGTTCCGCTGGCGTCCCTGGGTCTCCGCCTCTTTTGCGTGGCAGGCGTGGGACAATGTGCACTGTCAAGGGGTCGGATGTACGCCCCGGGGTTCCGCTGGCGTCCCTGGGTCTCCGCCTCTTTTGCGTGGCAGGCGTGGGACAATGTGCGCTGTCAAGGGGTCGGATGTACGGCCCGGGGTTCCGCTGGCGTCCCTGGGTCTCCGCCTCTTTTGCGTGGCAGGCGTGGGACAACGTGCACTGTCAAGGGGTCGGATGCACGCCCCGGGGTTCCGCTGGCGTCCCTGGGTCTCCGCTTCTTTTGCGTGGCAGGCGTGGGACAATGTGCACTGCCAAGGGGTCGGATGCACGCCCCGGGGTTCCGCTGGCGTCCCTGGGTCTCCGCCTCTTTTGCGTGGCAGGCGTGGGACAATCGGCCAAGGCGTTGGATGTACGCCCTCACTCACTGACTGACTGACTGACTGACTGACTCACTGACTGACTGACTGACTCACTGACTCACTCACTGACTCACTGACTCACTCACTGACTCACTGACTCACTGACTCACTGACTCACTGACTCACTCACTCACTCACTCACTCACCCACGCACTCACTCACTCACTCACTCACTCACTCACTGTACTTGAACATACATACACACACACAAACTCACCCACCATCACCGCTCCATCACTCTTATACTTCCTCTTCCCTTCTTGCTTTTCTATGCCCAGTCTAAATCTAGAGAAGTTGGTAACATGTGGGGTTATCCGGTCCTTTAATTTACTTTCTGGTTGGTGGTTTTTCGCCTACCTCTCTGAAAAATGATGGACTTCGTCAGTTGGGATGATGACATTCCCAATATATGGAAAAACAAAACATGTTCCAAACCACCAACCATTAACCATTAACCATTATTGCTGAAGCCATTTTGTGCCAAGGCTCCAGGGCGCTGATTCGCCAAGAGGGGTCGAACATCACCTGCTGGCTTTCTCATAGCGGGATTAATATTTAAGGGGAACCCCTATAATTGATGGATACCCTCTGGTAAACGTTTACATAACTATGGAAAATCACCATTTTTAATGGGTAAATCCACTATAAATGGCCATGTTCAACAGCTATGTCAGTTTACCAGAGGAAAGTCCCTGTAACAACCAATCAACAATGGTATCCTTGATCATAGTAACTATCACCGACTGGTGGGCAGCCGAAAAAAAAAGGATTGTGATATGGGGGACTTCCTAAAATGGGAAGGATCCCCAAGTCACCATGGGTTAGCCTATACTAACACGGTGATTTATGACTTGGATGATTTCGGGAAGCGTAATTTTACGAAGCCTCCATTTATTTGGGAGGATAGGCATATCTTTGGGGGATAAATTTATGGGAATTCCCGTAGGATTTCCCCATCTCATTTGTTTCCATCTTTTTTTTCATCCTTTGCCAATCTCTGGGTTCCTCATCACCTTCGTTGGTCCCTCCCCATACCCCGTAGTGAGGTCACAACAATTTGGTGTCCGAAACAATCGAAGGGAATGGCGACAATTCATCCAGTTCATGTCCCACCTTTCATTCACCAGGATGAACCCAGTAGTGGTTGGTGGTGCAATAACCATCTTGAAATATATGAAAGTCAATGGGAAGGATGATCCCATATATTATGGAAAATTAAAAATGTTTGAAACCACCAACCAGAGTACTTACGCATATTTTACCAGTAGTACCGCGCAAGGCGGTGGCGGAAGTTTCAAAAATAGGAAACCTATAGGAGAGATTGGTTGTTGTGAATCAGGGATGGCAGAGCGAATCCACTGATGGACCGAAAGGTGCTTGAGGTCTCCTCTCTTTCTCTCTCTTTCTCTGACTATCTACCTACCTACCTATCTATCTTCGATGTATCTATCTATCTATCGATCTATCTCTCTCTCTCTCTCTCTTCCATCTAATTACCTACCTATCTATCTATCTATCTCTCTCTCTCTTTCATCTGTCTATATGTCTATCTTTCTAGCTGTCTACCTGTCTATCTGCCTATCTATCTATCTATCTGTCTATCTATCTATCTATCTATCTATGTATCTATCTATCTGTCTATCTGTCTACCTGTCTATCTGTGGTGCAGTGTCATTCAGTGTAATGTAGTGTAGTGTAATGTAGTATAGTGTAGTGGAGTGCGGTGGAATGTAGTGTAGTGTCGTGTAATGTAGTGTATTATAGTGTAATTTCGTGTAGTGGAATGTAGTGGAGTGTAGTTGTGTAGTCGTAGGTGTAGTTGTAGTGTAGTGGAGTGTAGTGTAATGTAGTGAAGTGTTGTGAAAGGTAGTGTAGTGTAATGTAGTGTAGTGTAGTGTAATGTAGTGTAGTGCAGTGTAGTGGAGTGTAGTTCTGTAGTTGTAGTTGTAGTTGTAGTTGTAGCGGAGTGGAGTGTAGTGTAGTGTAATGTAGTGTAATGTAGTGTAGTGGAGTGTAGCGGAGTTTAGTGGAGTGTAGTTGTGTAGTTGTAGTTGTAGTGTTGTGGAGTGTAGTGTAGTGCAATGTAGTGTAATGTAGTGTAGTGTACTGTAGTGTAATGTAGTGTATTGTAGTGAAGTGAAGCGAAGCGACATCTGAACCTCCAAAAGTGGTCCTCTATTTGTTGGAAGCTACTAGGGGTGAAGCGTCGAAGTTCAGAAGCTACCCAGTCCATGTGACGGAAGTCAGAGACATCAACATCCACTTCCAAGGAAGGGTGAGACTGGGCGATCCGTTGCAGAAGTTCTGCACCGAACAACCTGAGCCATGGGTTCGTGTAGTTGTCCCGAAGATGGTTGAGCAACGCTCCAAGTGTGAACGAGATGAGTTCTTGAGAAGAGTAGGGCATCCTCTGGCGATCAGGCTTGATCAGGCTTGATCCACTTGCGCACGGACACATGCCCTTCTCTGCTCCTACGAACGAAGTACACCAACTTCTTCCTCTTCTGTGGTTAATTGGGTATAACAACCTTTTGAAGTGTGAACTCCTCATCATTGGGGATAATCAACCACACATGATGGCCGACCATGAACCCCAAACATGAATCACCTAGAAACCATCCTAAGTATACAAAATGAATCAATAGGGATACAACAACATAGGGAAATGGCTATGAACCCCTGTAAAATCACAAAAATCACAAATCAATCAGCATTTATCAATTCGTACCCAAATCTTTGGTACTTGAAACTGCATGACCCCCGCATGACCCCTTGAAAATCCCAACGAAATGATGCTTCAGTCCCAATCAAACATCAATCAATCATCAAATTTGGGGCATTAGTCGATCATTGATGCCTCGTGGGTGAGTTGATTAATCACCTAATGGTATCATGGTTTGAGCATCACCGTTCTACCATTAACCATTGATTAACCATTGAAAATTACCATCGTTAATGGTTGTGATTTGTCATTTTCACCCATGAATGATGCTGAAATCCCAGTAGGGTTAATCAGTGAATCATCAACTATATTATTTATCGCGAGGCAAACCCCCTATAACCACTAAACTGGTTGGTGGTTTCAACCCCTCTGAAAAATATGAAAGTCAGTTGGGATGATTCTTCCCAATATATGGAAACATAAAAAATGTTCCAAACCACCAATCAGTAAAGATATAGCCACTATCACCACTATTCAATCATCCCTTTGTTTTTGTATCAACTATATCATCATTTCACATCACCATCATTAATGCCTAAAATGATGACCATTAGCTAATACTGATCTAATCAAGTGATGATTTATATGCAACTGGCCATGCTAAGCACCACTATAATTAAAATAATCACTAATGAAGTATCACTATATCACTATAATGAAGTATATACGTATATAGTCTGTATATATATATATATATAAATACTGTATATCAAAAAATCCTTCAATAATCAAAGATTAAGTATTATATATCACTATAAACATCCGTTTTTATGGCCGCCCAATCACTATATATATATATCAGTGTCAGTACAATATTATCAGTATATTATCAATATATATATATGTATATTCATTTTTCACTATCACCACTATCATCACTATTCAATAATCCCATCATTTTACCAACTAAATAGTCACTAATCATTATTTCATCATCATCGAATTCATTTTAACCACTATCGCTACAATATTATCAATATATTTATTATCACTGCATATCACTACACATAATGGTTATAATCATTTCATATCATTGAGCTACAAGGGTCCATCATTATATGATTTATATGATGGTTTATATACATCATCACAGTAATGGCTTTTATGAAGCTGGCCATACTAATCATCATTTTTAATGGCCACCCAATCACTCTATATAGGTAGAACACTATCAGTACAATATTATCAATATAGTATCAATATATTATCAACATATTATCAACATATTATCAGCATATTATCAATATATATTATCAATATATTATCAATATGTATATATATATATATTGTGTATAATCATTATTCACTATCATCACTATCATCACTTTCATCACTATCATCACTCTCATCACTCTCATCACTATCATCACTCTCATCACTATCATCATTATCATCCCATTGTAAAATATGATCTATATATTATCACTATATAAAGTCATTATCAACATATATTTATATATTCTCTATATATTCTCACTCTATATATTCTCTATTTCAACATCATTGAATTCATGGCCGGGTGACACATCGACCCACCAGTCCGATGATCTGCGGATTGGTTTGCGGCGGCACGTCCGGCGGCCGCTTCTCGACTAGGATCCTGCTGAAGAACCAGGTAGCTTAAGGGGGGTTCAATGGGATTTACTGGGATTTCATAAGGTAACATCTTGGATTTACTGACTTTTAATGGGGTAAAATCTTGGATGTACTGATTTTTAATGGGGTAAAACTGGGGTTTAATGGGATTTCATAGGGTAAAATCTTGGGATTTCATAGGGTAAAATCTTGGGTTTAATGAAATTGAAATGGGAGCTACAACCCAGCTATGTTACAGTTCGGGACAATATTGAGATGTATTGAGCCAATGAACCATGAACCACCCATGCCGACTGTTGTTGGCAGGGATCCAAAAAAAGTCAACGCTTCGGGCAGAACTCTCTGTTGGGGTCTTTGCAATGAGCAGCTGTGCCAAAGCAAGGTAGTCTGACTTCTTCGGAGCTGTCACGGCTCTCGGCCCATTTTTTAAGCCCAATGAAACGCGTGGGAGTAGGTGTGGATCAACATAATACTGCGAAACCCCAGGCACACAATTTCCTCTAAATTTTGTTTCGACCTATGAATTATCTTTCCTTCGAGATTCAGGCTAGCGGCTAACAGCAACCAAGAATCTAGAACCAAGACGCCTCCACACTTGCAGCCTGATTTCCTGCTTCAGCCTCTTTGCCATCTCATGACGTCGAAATGCCACCGGTCATTGAGAATTCCATCGGATAAAAAGATGCAGCAACAAACCATTCCCAAAGATCAATGTGGCCGCCAACGCAATTTTTCATGGATTGCTAGGGACCATTTTCACCAGAAGCCGCCCCACAAATGGGAACATCTTTTGGGGTGATCCCTGCGATGTTCGTTGCGCAGCTGTTTGTTGCTGGCGAATCACCACCGAAACGGGGGCGCCTCGCAGTAAGCTGCGGCATGGTCTGGCAGTCGGCGTAGGGCAAAATGCCACCAAAGAGTTCCTGGAAGCACAACGAAAGACTCCTCTGCGGCCAGTCTTAGATACAAAGAACACATGTTTTTAGCTGAGTATATCTATCTGGTTAGTAATTATATCTATATATCATTACATTTACTTAACATTACTTGTGGCCAGTGTTATAAGCTGGTTACGGTTAGTATATCTATTTCCAATTCTCGCCCGCAAGATTTTCGTAAGCGAGCTCTAAAGAGCTTCCTCCATTTCGGGTTTGCACCTAATTCTGAACAACTCTGAGCTCTTCCAAAACCTATGCTGGTTGGTGGTATACCTACCCCTCTGAAAAATGATGGAGTTCGTCAGTTGGGATGATGACATTCCCAACTGAATGGAAAGTCATAAAATTCCATGGTTCCAGTCACCTCCAACCAGTACGGCCTTGAATTTTTCGTTGAAACCCATTGGTGAAATCCCAAGTGTTTAAACCCCATTTTGGGGCAGATTCCGATGGGCGACCTCCCGTGCAAGCCGTTTGCCAAAGGATCGATAAGGATACAGCCAGCCGCCCAAATGTCCACTTTCTCCTGCGATGATCATACCACTGAGATTGCCATTGTGGGCTCCGTTGCCAAGTTTGGATGGGAAATTTTGTGCAACAACGTATCAGTTTAGGGTGCTTGGATGATCTTGACATATCTTGACAGAGGAGATCAAAATGTGGAGTTCCCTTCAGAACTTATTTCATGGTCATGTTTAAGCAGTTCAGGGCCCCCCTGAGCCCAGTGGCCCAGTGCGGGGCTGGGTTTGTTGGATCATCCCCAGTTAAGCTACTTATGTTGACCTACAGAAACCCATCCAGCAGTAGGTATACCAACAGTCGCTCTTCAAAATGGCCATAGAAAGTTCGTTGGTTTAAGTTGATTTACCCATAAAACATGGTGCTTTTCCATAGCTCCATAGTTACGTAAACGTTACACCCCAGTGAAAACCCATCGTGAAAACCCATCAAACTTGGTCCCCTGGTCCCCAAAACGGCGCTCCGTCAACTTGCCCAGGGAGGCATCGTAGCACTCCGGCGCCATGTAGCGTGGTGAGCCACCCTCGCCGTCCAATTTGCGCGCGATGTGCGTGGACCTTGCGCGTTTTGGACTCAGGAGGGGAAGAAGCATATGAAGTGGCTTACTTTGGGGAGATTTTGCTGAACATCACCAGTTACATTAATGGATTCCTTGTACATATATATGTATATATATATATACACATTGAAGCCAAATATAATCAGCTAGATATGCAATCACAGCCAACAATATATGGGTGATTCACCACGAACTGTGATGTATGTACATCGAAGGAGTACACGCCCTCTGGTAGTCAAACGTGGCAATGGGAAATCCCCAATAAATTACCGGAGGGTACCCTTTGGTAAACATAAACAAAAAAAAGCTATTGAAAATGGCAATTTATAGTGGATTTATCCATTAAAAATGGTGATTTTCCATAGTTATGTTAGTTTACCAGAAGGTAACTTGATGTTCCCTGTATGATTGGTGATCCCGACTCTGCATGCAGTCAGGTCTTGCGATTTCCGTAGCTTTGTTGATCCCACCATCCCACTAAGTTGCTAGTACGATCAACCAACCCAATTATAGTCCCATTCCCATTCAATATCCCATTCGAAAATCTGGTTTGGTACTGGCCCTATTCATTTTTGTGGTGCATAGGCACCATATCGGGGATTTTTCATGGGGGGCTGACGATCATCAGGACGGTGCGAGTTTCTGACGCCGAGTTTCTCCGTTCACATCGCTAGGGATTGGGGATGAATATCCCATGCCCCCAGGTTGTTGGTATTCCTTCTATCTCTCATATACCATTGGCTGGTAAAACTCATGATTTCTGCTAGCAAATTCACACATTTTCTTGGTTCTGGCGTCAGCAATTAATCATATCCTCTTATATCCGCATTTAATGGCTGGTTGAGTCTTTTTTTCATCCCATTTTAGATTAAGATCCTATAAACCTAGTCGACCTCGCATAAATGATAGTAAGAACGGTAATAGCTGATAAGAATAATTGTTTAATAACACCTATGACACCATAACAATAACAAACGCACCCACTCCATACCCCAGTAAACTGATCAAATTAGACAAACACAAACAACTCACCAGCGAAAAGCGACCAGCTGATCTCAGCTCAGTGACTCCATACACATCTGGTGAGCCAAGCCAAAGTCGCAAATCTTGGCATTTTGTCTGGAGTCCAGCAGGATGTTCATCGACTTCCTTGAAAATGCATCGCAAATGGCTGCGACCGGGGCTAGGACGGCTAGGATGGGGCTTGGTGAACGGAATTTTGTGAGGCGATGGTTTAGAAGGTCTCAAACAGGCAAATCCACCCAAGAATCCTGTAATTAATCTATATATAGTTAATCTATGGTTAACGGTTGGTAGTGGACTACTAGTTGATGAACAATTGTTAGTTCATGGATGAAACATCTGGTTGGTGGTGCAATAACCATCTTGAAACATATGAGTTCGTCAATGCGAAGGATTATCCCATATATGAATGGAAAAGAACAAATGTTCCAAACCACCAACCAGCTATAGTTTACAATTTCAAATTTCCCACACCAAGATGGCTAATTCAAAAAAAGTGTGGGCCCATCGCATGAACAGAGCCACAAAACCGGATCAGGCCAATGTGTGTGCCAAGTTCTGGGCCCAAAATGTGAACCAAAACCGAAGAAATTTCCTGAGGGATATAGACCAGCATGTTTTACCCGGCCTGGTTTCTACGTTTACATCACGTTTACCTGGAAAGATCCACCATCTGCTGGGTAAATCAATGAACTTTCGACTGGGCCATTTTCAATAGCGAACTGTTAGTCATTACCAGAGAGTATGCTCTCCAGTTCTTCACCATGTTTTTTTGATTCGGTATTCCTTCAATCACTGGTTGGTGGTATACCTACCCCTCTGGAAAATGATGGAGTTCGTCAGTTGGGATGATGACATTCCCAACTGAATGGAAAGTCATCAGATTCCATGGTTCCAGTCACCACCAACCAGTCTATCATTTCCCTATATCCCAATATAGTGTAATCACCATCTTGAATAGGTAAATCAACTATTTCTATGTGCCATTTTCAATAGCTATCCCTGTTAGTCATTACCAGATCATGTGACTCTCTCATTTTCATCGACGACTCGTCTGCCGCTGCGCCACAAGTCTCGATGAACCACGCGGTGGGAGTGGAGAAATGCTAAGCCCTGCCGTTCAGGTGGGTCCATAAATCACCCAGGAATTGCGCTTGGTTTTTTTTTGGGATGTTCCATATATCACTGGGGATGTTCCATATGTTCCATATGTTCCATAAATCAACGTGATTTATTACTAATGATTGTTATGACTGGATGGATAATTACTAGTAATGGATACTATACTACTACTATCCATGCAAATCTTATATGGTTGTTACTATGGTATACTATGGTTATTAACCCATTGACATCAATTAATTATTGGGTTACTAATTGATCAATACCCAGTGATATGAATATAATCATATACCCATTGATATTAATAATCAATGGGTATTACCCATATAAATAATCATAGCCATTGACAATCATCAGTCAACGGGTTACTGGCAACCTAAACGACTTGGGATGCGCCCCAAATCGCCCACAGCTGGTCTTCTGGCGAGATCCGCCGACTTGGTGTCAAGATGTGGGTTGAACAATCCAACCCAATGGGGCTGTTATTCCAGGTATAGGACATATATCATCCTCAGCTATCTATGGGTTGGTGGTTTGTTCTGTTTCGTGCTAAACATGTATGTTCTACAGTGGGAGATGTGGTGTTCACAAATCTAAAGCCCGTTGGAAGGGGAAAACACTATCGATCAAATGGCTGGCGACTAATAAAATCGAACCATTCACCGTTCACTAGTCACTTTACCCACTTTAGTGCTATGATGACTAATCTTAGATGTAGCGCAAGAACAAAATCAGGCAATTGTGGAAGCCCACCGATGGGATGAACATGGATCCCATACCCTGAGGGCTTGGAGCTTCACCTTTGCGGCATCTCCTGGTCTGTGGAAATGGCTGAGTATCCACAACATTCTCAACGGATGGCTGCTCAGAAAGGACCTTGATTTTTTTGGGCCAGTTGTCATCCTTGTGTCCGAAAACGTCGATGCATCCGCCCAAGTTCTTGCTGTAGAACTTGGGCACTCCAAAAATCGTGACCAACTTCCACCGGGCATTGGGGCATTGCCTGAGCTTTTTCCTGGTGGTGCTGCGTCCTTCAAATAATCCCATCCTCCCGATGTCAGATCCCTCAGTAAAACACTCCCAGATGAAGACAAACAATACTAAAATTATCAATAGGAATTCCAGGATCCTAAAATGGAGGTACTGTACCATATAAGGCCATATTTTGTGGGGATATTCCCTTACATAGGCCTTATATAGGCCTTATATATGGTTGGTACCTCCAATTTAGGTTACTGAAAAACTACTTTGATATTACTAAAAACCATGGGTTTCCCTGGGGAATTTTCACACGATGGATGGGACTACTTTGCAAACTAGAAATTCTTGCGATGAAGAACATCTTTGGTGCGGTGCCATCCCTTGTCGACTGTGGATAGGTCAAAGGGTCAAACCAAAGCCCGAGCCTATCCCTTTCTTCCAGTCTTAGATACCCTTCAACAATTTTTTTTTCAGCTAGTACATGAGCGTCACAATGGCAAACATACTGAACTTGAAGCAGCTACCCATCCAAGCCTTCCCCAGTTCACATGAACTATATCATCATCTGGTTGGTGGTTTTAACCATCTTGAAAAATATGAAAGTCAATGGGAAGGACTATCCCATATATTATGGACAAATAAAAAACGTTCCAAACCACCAACCAGTATATCATCATGTATTGGTGCTTCAACCAAATCTCTTGGTGAATTATGCCCCCAGTCGGTATTTCATCAGGACGAGTATCGGACAAGAGGGCCCGGCTATCTGCCAGTATCGGTGCGGCTATCAATGTCAGGGCTTGCAGACGTCCTCATTTTTGTTCGGCAAAGTGTTATCTTCATCGGTTTCATAAATTACTTCGAGTGATCCCCACCATGACATTTCAAAACAGCTAGTTGACAGCACTTTTGTCTGAAGCTTTTGTCACGGGACTTTTGCCCAACTAACTATCCCAATCATTTGTTTCACCTGGCAGGTCATTGTACAGGTCAGACTGTCAAACAGGATATAAACATGTCAGTGGACCATGTGAAGTAAACTCCAGAGCTCTCAACAGGTTTGTTTAAACATGACCAAACAGGGCAGTGGACCACCTGAGCCAAACAAACAAACATGCCCAAACATGTCAGCACGCCGCCTGTCAAACATGTTTGTACAAACATGACTGAACCAAGCCAGTGGACCCCTGAACCAAAGTCAAAGGCTCGCAAGCTCACGTGTAAACTCGACAAAACCATGCCAGTGTTACTTCATCAGATCGCTGCAGCTGCAACTCTCTATTTCTCCACCAGACCTCTTCAATCAAAACCGATTAGGTCCCACTGGCAGAGCACTGTGTCAGGATGCTTGCAATGCATCATAGACAGGCCAGGACTGCAGCCGCTCCAGCGTCGAAGCAGCTTTGGCTTCCAACTTGTCAGTCAGTTCTCGCAAGTAGGTAGGAGGGCCTTTGCGTAAAAGCTCCTCCACTTGCTCCGTGAACCCCAGCAAGATGAGATTCTTCAGTTTGCGGGCACGCGTCAGCATGACATAGATGGCTAGCCACCAGTCCGCATCCTCTAGGCCACCACCACGACGCAAATCAACCAGCACACCTCCGTCCAAAGTCAAGCCTTGCGCGCTGTAAGCAGTGCGCAGCATGCCATGCAAAAGCGGGAACTGCCAGCGAATCACTTCAATTTTCTCCGTTTCCTCGCCTAGCTTCAAATCAATTTTGAACTCTGCATGCACCAATTCCACAAAGAACAATGTCTTTGCGTCAGTTGTGTGATCGGCCACATTCTGAAACTTTTCTTCCCACGTCTGCAACAGAGCATCTTCCATGGGCGAATTCTTTCCTTTAAGTAATTTCACCCAGATACCTTTGGCCATGTAGTCCGGAAAAAAATGACAGAATCCAGGTTCACGACGGTCCAGGCGCTTCTGATCTTCATGGTGCAAATCCACTTTCACTACCACTGCCAGTTTGTCTTTAACCAATCCAAGGTGTGGAGCCAAGACATCCGCCAGTCGCACAACCATGTTCTCGTGCACCAGTAGCATGCCTTGCAATTTGCCAGTGCGATGCGGGTTTGGAACAGTGAGCAGCTGATGCGTCAGCTGCTTGTCTATGGTTTTATTTTTTCTGGAATGCCTTTGGTCAGCAGCTTGCAAACAAAATAACGGCACATCCAGGTCTTGCGCATCTCGATTTGCCCGTTCCACCATGCTGCGAGCAATGTTCTCCCAATACATGCCAATGACGTGACCATGCTTGAACAAGTCTGTGGTTAGTTCTTTCTTGCAATTTTCGATTTTGCGAGTGCGCAGCTGAGCCAAGTGATTCTCGGACAAGGGAGCAGCAGGCGTGCACGTGCGCATGGCTGTTGTGATTTCTGGCAGGTGAGCATCCAGAAACCGCTTCGACTTCTTCAAATGAATCACTGTATCAATGGTCATCAATGCCGCCTGGGCAGCATGGTGTTCTGTCTGCACTCTGTGCGGCATTTTGCGGATCAGCTCTTCGAGATTGTCAGCTAAGGAGATCTCGTTGGCAGGCTTGATCTGCAAAAAATCACCTGCAATCAGCAAAATTGGTATGTGTCCCATGAGCTCTCCTGGGTGGAAATAGCTGGCTGGATCAAGGCCTTCATCTTGACGGGCGCGCATGCTGCGGTAAAGCATCATGTTTTCCACTGCAGCTGGCACCAAACTGATTTCATCTTGAATGATTAAAATTTTCGGCTGCCAGCGTTGTTTCATCTCTTGCTCTTTTGTCTTCAAGGCCAAATGCTTGTTGCGCAAACTGGCTACACGATACGAGCAAGCAGTATGACATGTTCGCGCGCGATAGACATCATTGGAAATGGCATCCGATTGGGCATGGCTGAAGGTGGCAATCATGTATCGCTCTTCTTCTCCGGGCCTGGCTGGAAAAAAGTGACAAAAAACATCCAGCATGAGCTCCAAAATGATTGTCGTCTTGCCAGTGCCACCGGCGCCAATCAAAAGGCATGCGTGCTGCGCACGTTTTCGCAAAGGTATTTTGTTCTCTTCTTCCTGTAAAGCGACATCCATTGCCTCACCAAACCATCTGCAAGCAGACAATTGCTCCGGCGCCAGCTTGAATCCAGCGGCAGACTTTTCAAACGCAGCAACCTTCCGCGCCATCGCTGCAGATGGCTTGCTAAAGGTGCGCCATTCTGCTTCTGGCATCGCGACATCACTGTTTGCAGCCAACTCTCCTGCGCGCTCTGCGCAGTCGCTCGTAGCAGCCCGGTCCGCCGACAAGCGGCTGAGGCCCATGCTATCATTTGTCATGGCGGCGCGCTGAGCATCCAGTAGCGGCTGCGTGATCATGGGCACTTTCTCTTTCAACCTCAGTTGTTCTGCTCGTGGATTCACTGCAGTGCCACTCGCGCGCTTGTAGGCCGCAGTTCTATGCAACGCTTCTTCATCCCCTGTCAAGGGCAAAAGGCCCACAGAAATCATGTCGCGCACAAACTTGGTTTGCTTTTGACGATGAAAGGTCATGGCTTGCGAACGCTGCGATGAAGTCAGTGGATGATGTACTTTTAAAGGTGCATCTCCAGCCTTGAGTCGAACCTCCCCATCGATGTCTGGATCCAAAGCATCTTCGAAAGCTGGTTCAAAGGATTCGCCAGTATCTCCAGTCCCGTGGCCTTCACGCACTAATCCTGGATCTTCTTTTGCATCTGCGTCCAAAGCATACGACTTGGTTTTGGGTGCTGCCTTAGCACGTCCGTAAGCATCTAAGTTCTTGACCACTCTTTTTGTCAAGTAGCAAACATACTCTTGGACAGTCAAACGGTTCTGCAACTTTGCACTCGCATCGCAACCCAGTTTGTTCGTGCAATCCTTGTCCAATGGAATCAAGTATTTCTCTTGAGCCAATTCTTTTTGCAACTGGAATACTTCCAAGCACTCCCACAAAGTAGGTATTTCCATCCGTGCTTCAATTTTTTTTTCAGCATCCGCAGCTTTGGGCAAAACAGTGTGCTGCCAGTAG